GCTTTCTGCTAAGGAACAACAGCCACAGGGAAAACAGGAGCAGCATTTCACTAGAGACAGGAAACCAGTTACAAAGTCTCAGCAAGGAGGGCACAAAAGTTTCTTTCCTCTCCAGGCTTTGCCTGTTCCGAGCAAGCAGAACAGATATATAGAGCCTCTCAGAGAAAACAAGGCAACTTCTCCAGTGCCTTTTGGTCTCCTTGTCTGGATCCTCTTTTCCTCTTCACATGTTAAACGCATTAAATGCTGGCACCTGAGTGAGAGACTTGTCCTCTTATCCCTTCTCTTTAACTCCTTTCCTTGGGCAGTTTCAATCACATCCATTGTTTTAACTATCAAACAAATGCAGGTGACTCCTAAATCCCCATCTCCTTCCAGACTTCTCCTTTGAACTCCAGACCCACGCATCCAAAGGCTCACCCAAATCAGAAATTGAGGTGTCACCATGGGCACCTCCTTTTCTACCAATTCCCAAATTCCACTGAGAACTCAGCCTTCTCCTAATATTTTTCTAACATCTGTTCCCTCTGTTCCCAAAGATCATTTTAGAAACCCCCAGAAATTATAAGAGCATTTTGGGGGAGAGGAGCTTCTCATCCAATTCTCAATTCTTTATCACCCTGTAAAATTCAAGAGCCATTGCTAATTTCGCCCCTCCGATGTCACCACGGTCCATCTAAAATGCAAATATAAACTGAGCAGTACCCTGCTTAAAATCCTTTGGCAGCTTTCAGAAAAGTGTGAGCTCCTTAGAATTGTCTTACAAGGTCCCTTCCGCTTGGAACCCCGCTTCCCTCTCCACGCTTACTCCTTGCTGTTCTTCTCAGCACTGTGGCAGATGATTCCACCCGCTGTCACCCACCCACCCCATGTCTCTGTATGTGTTGCTCCTTCTGCCTGGAAGGTCCATCACCCTTAGTCTGCCTGGCAATTTCCGACTCATCCTTAGGACCCAATTCAAAGCCGCTTACCCTGTGACACGTCCCAGACACCAGCCTGCCCTGAGGGAGGGCTCATCGCTACCTGTACCAGTGCTACCTACATACAACTTTTGTACATCCACCTTTGCATTTACCACTCTGCACTGCAGTGCCTTGTTCATAGGTCTGGCTTCTTTCTTTACTGGGAGGAGCTATGCCATGCATATTCATTTCTGTATTCCCCGCATCTGGCAGAGTGCCTGATACTCAGTAAAGGCAGGCTGAATTATAAATAAAACTGATAAACAATTATAACTATAGAGTTCTTTACAATTCACACATCACATACTTTATCTTTTCATCATCTCAACAATACTGATGAGGTAGACAAGGGATATATATTAGGGAGGTCTTGCCAAGGTCACAAGCTATAACTCACCACCTCCCTTTAGTACTGAGCATAGGCTGAGGTGCCTATAGAAATTCAGTGAGCTGGATGGACTTTGGCACGGACTCTATGCTCTAATAGTGAAGGACTACCCAACTTTTCTGAGCTTGTGACTTTGCTATGAATTTGTCCAGACACATCTGGGCAAGGGGCTTGCACCTCTTATTCTGCTCTACCTTCCTCACACTTTCCTGTAAGTCAGGTAACTTCCCATGAAAAAGTCAGTCCCATCCAAAGAAAGGAGAACCAAACACAGGATTCTTTTGTTTCTGTCTACTTCATCAATGAGAATGACCGAGAGCTGGATACAGTGCATTGTATACAGTAAGCAATCAATAAATATTGGCTGAATGGATGAAAGAATGAGGCATCTTTAAATGGAAAAAGGAAAGAAAAATATGGCTAAGGAGGAGCTAAAGGCTTAGTCTGCTAAGGAGGGAGCGGAGCCCTGGGATGATACCAAAGGACTGCCACTTTCTAGCTGTAGAGCCCATGAATTTGGAAAGCAGATCACATCCAAATTGATACACCAGGGAAAATCGGATGGGCTGCCAGAAAACTGTGGCAGACAAAGGTAGCCTGGAATTTGAAAAAAAAAAAGTGCAGAAGTAGATCTTGCAAACTATACAACAGTGAGTTTATCCTGACAAAATTTCTAGAATTTTTTTTTTTATAATGGCTCTTAAACACTTAGGCACCACAGTATGGGTCCCATAAGGATGAGAAGACCATGCCAGAATAACCTAACATCCTTTGAGAAAGGGTTACTGGGCAAGAAATATGACAAATGCTAAAAATATTTTTATTTTAGCAAGAAATCTGAAAAAAAAACTCTTAAAATTCTGTGGGCATGGTAGAGAAATGAAGGCTAGAAAAAAATAGTTTGGTGGATTTACAGTTATGAATGGTGAGCAATGCTTCAAAATTGTCCTGATCATGTGCTCTAGGGCTCTGTACTTTAATAGAGTCCTTATAAAGCTTCAAACCAAAGGCTAGCATGTAAAGTACATGATGGTAGCCATCATGTCTAACTCAGCAGTGCCTAGAACAGTGCTTGCTATATAGAAATGTGATCAATAAAATTTTAAAAAACTATTTGTGAACAAATGAATCCATAGAAAGCCTGTTCACTAAATTTGCAGGTCATGCAGAATAAGAAGAGTTACTTAATATTTTTCTCTTTATTTCATGATGGATATAATAGCCTTTTTCAATATTTTTGTTGTCTATTCATCTACCTACCTACCTACCTACCTACCTACCTACCTAGAATGTAGGCTGGCTAGAATAAAGTTAAAACAATTCAGAGGAGGTTGACAAAAACAAACAGAAACAAACAAAGGAAGGAAGGAAGAAAGAGAAAAGAGGAAGGAAGGAAGGAAGGAAGCAGGCATTGCTGAGTTAGACAAGATCCCTGCCATCATGTACTTTATGTGCTAGTCTCTGATTAAAATGGAAGAAGGAAGGAAGGAAGGAAGGAAAGATGGAAGGAAGGAAGGAAGGAAGAGAAGAGAAAAGAAGAGGGAGAAGGAGAGGGAGAGGAGAGAAGGAGGGATGGAGGAAGGAAGCAGAAAATTTCCAGAACAGGTCAACTACAGACTCTGGGTTAAATCCAGCCTGTTGTCTATTTTTGAAAATAAAGTTTTATTGGAACACATCCATGCACATTCATTTGTGTATTGTCTATGGTGCTTCTGCACTACAATGGCCAAACTGAATAGGCACAACTGAGACCAAAGGGCTCACAAAGCTTAAAATGTTTACTATCTATTTTTTTTTCTTTTTCAGAAAGTTTGCTGACCACTGATCTAGAATATTGAATATAAACATCAACCTAGGGAGAACCATTAGAACACAAAGGGACAAAACTTGAATGCAGGGGGTGGAGACAGTGCAATAGCAGAGGATGGACTAGACGGCTTCACAGCTCTGAGACTCTATGGTATCAGAAATGCTTACTAAGTCCTGCTGGGATCCTGAGAGCAGGACCTCTTCCCATCTTCCTGGCCCTGCCCTCTCAGCAAATGCTCCTCCTTGCTTTCTGGTGAGAGCATCTGAACAGAAGACAGAGCTGAGGGCAGCAAAGCTGTGTGAGTCAGGAGAGGACAGCCCACAAGCTGAGTCCCCTCATAACAGGCTGCAAATATAGGGCAAGTTTGGTACTCATGCAATTCTCCTCTGTTAGATACATAAAGTGAACATAATTCCTCCAGCAGTTTGGTGGGAATCCAAACAGGCATAGGTCATGGCCTGCAGATGGAACTGTCAGCTGAGGAAGAAAGAAAAGACATGGGCGGATGCGAGCTCACATAACCATACAAAAGGCCAAGGCTTAGAGAACATTCAAAAGCACAGCTGAGGGCAGGTTGCAATTATTGCCAAGAACAGGAAAGGCTCTGAGGAGGAACTAACTGCAGCAATGGAGCTTGATGGAAGGAGCAGCTTTAGAGAGGTGGAGAGGCGGGGAAGGGCAACTTCACACTTCATCTGGGCAGTGGTGCTCTGATGCTCTTGACATTCCCCTTATGCTGCCCATTTGGGGCAGCAGTGACACCTCCTCTCTCTGGGCTACCATACCCACATCCATGACAGCTCTGATGGTTGAGTGCACTGCTCCCTTTGGCTGAACCTCCCTCCAAGTCAATGTTCTGACCCTCAGGCAGTCAGCATGGCTGTCTGTCCCGCTGGCATCACTGCCAACCCTAAAGCAGCCACTGCTCAGCTGCCCTGTTGCTGGAGACTGAGAGGAATCTCAGCCTCTGTGAGTGATCCAGGATATGGGCAGGCAACGGGACCAGTCTGGACAAGCAACAGCTCAAATGTAAAATACTCACTTCTGTCTGTAGTCAAAGCAACCTGCCCTTTTCTCAACCCTACTTTTGAAGAACTACTCACTCGAGGCAACACGGACTGACTTGCCCAGGTACCCTTGAACAGACATGTGACCAAGCCCTAGTACAGGTGCACACTGCCTCTTTCTTCTGAAGAAGTCTAGACAACCACCTGCACGATGCCCCGGGTAGACACTGATGTCCACTCCATTGGCTAAGCATAGGCATCCAGGCACAGAGGAGGTCCACTATTTGTCCTGGGTCATACAGCAAGTTGAAGGGCATGTCCAAGAGATAGGACTGTATTTTAGATGTAGGAGGAGAAAAAAGCAGTATTCAGAGTCATGTTGAGGCACTTCTGAGGCTGAAGAAACCAGTGAGGCCATTTTCTAGTCCTGGGCAGGGATTGGACAAGGTAAGTCTGCAGGAAGTAGAAGAAGAACAAATCCACATTCCATGCAGTTGCCTTAATTAGTTTATGGAAACCTGCTCCACCACCTGCTCATCTGAGGCTCTACAGGCTAAGGTGCTTTTGGGAGAACACCAGTTGGAATGCCCCTCCTCCATTCGTAAAATCAGGCCTCTAATTTATTCCCCAAGACTTCTGAAGTGACATAAATTAGAGCCCGAAGGGACTGTGGAGGACATCTGTTCTGAGCCCTTTGGGTTATCCACGAGTTCCCAGATGATAAGGGACTTGCAGGCCCTCACTCTGCGTTGCTGGTAGAGCTGGCACAGAACTGGGTGCCTGGAAGCCACAGGGAGGAGAGTGCTCAGAACAGCAGGGGAGCCTGCACTTACCTTCCAAAGAATGAATTCCCTGCTCCTTGGCGGTTTTGTAAACACTGCTGAAATCGTCCCCAAGGTTTGGGTCAGCACCAGCAGCAAGCAGAACCTGCACCACACTGAAAGAAATCAGAAAGTCAGAAGTGTCAAAAGCAGGAAAGCCCCAGCAAGTAGAGACCCAGATTCGGAAGCATAATTGGAGACTGGATTTGCCTCTGCTCAGAAATGGTACAATGGAAAGAACATGAACTCTGTGAGTGTTAAAGACAGGGGTAGGAAAGCTGGCTCTGAAACTTACTGGCTGAGAGGCTCTGGACTGGCCAATAGACATATGAAAAGATGCTCAACATCACTAATCATCAGAGAAATGCAAATTAAACCATAATGAGGTATCACCTCATACCTTTCAGAATGGCTATCACCAATAAATCAATAGACAACAAGTACGGGCAAAGATGCGGAGAAAAGGGAAGCCTTGTGCACTGTTGGTGGGATTGCAAATCAATGCAGCCACTGAAAAACAATATGAAGGTTCCCCAAAAAATTAAAAAGAGAACTATCTTATGACCCAGCAATTCCACTCCTGGATATTTATCCGAAGAAAATCAAAACATTAATTCGATAAGATATCTGCACCCCTGTGTTCATTGGAGTATTATTTACAATAGCCAAGATATGGAAGCAACCTAATTGCTCATCAACAGACAATAGGATAAAGACAATTGGATATATACAATGGAATATTACTTGGCCATAAAAAAGAATAAAATCTTACCACTTGCAACAATATGGATGGACCTAGAGGGTATTAACGCCAAATGAAACAACTCAGACAGAGAAAGACAAATACTGTACAATTTCACTTAAATGTGGAATCTAAAGAACAAAATAGAAACACACTCACAGATACAGAGAACAAATGGATGGTTGCCAGATGGGAGGGAGCTGGAGGGCTGGGTGAAAAAGGTAAAGGGATCAAGAAGTATAAATTGGTAGTTACAAAATAGTCACAGGGATGCAAAGTACAGCATAGGGAATATAGCTGATTTAAGAAAAAAAGAGAGAGAGAGAGAGAGAGAGAGAGAGAGAGAGAGAGAGAGAGAGAGAGAGAGAGAGCGCCTCTAGATAAGTTATTTAATACTTCTCTAAGGCTTGGTTTCCCCAACTATAAAAGACGAAGTGTTTATTCAACGATTACTTATCAAATGCTTACTATGTTCTAGTCACTGTTCCAGGTGCTAGGGTCCGTGCCTTTGTGGAGCTTACAGTCTTCTGGGAAGGACGTCAATTTAGCATAAAATTACAGCAAAGTGTTATAAAGGCTATGATGGAAGAGGTACCATTTGCAGTGGGAAACCAAAAAAGGGCATCAAGTAAGGCCTTCCAGAGCACGTGGTATTTAAGGTACTGAAGACTTGAAGGCTGAATAGCTAGATCTGGGATAGCGAAGTGGGAGGACCCCGTGCCTTTACAAATCCTGGATTCAGTGCTTCACCTGAAGCAGGCAGAGCTGGAGTAGAGTGTGTAAGTGGACAAACTGTGGGAGATGAGGTAACCCACTGAAGGGCTTAAAGGGGGGAAGTAACATGACAACATATGCTTTACCTTCCCACTTCAAAAGATATACATACTGTAAAAAATGCAAACTATATTGAAATATTAAATTAAAAAATGAGTCTCCCCAGATAGCGATCTCCTTAATCTAATTTCCTATGGTAACCACTATTTCTAGTTTGGGGTTTTTCCCTCCAAACTTTTGCTATTGGAAGAATCACTCCAGTGGCTGTGAGAGAAAGGACTGGAGGGAGTAGGACCAGAAGCGGAGCCTCCACAGGGTTGGTACATGGTTGAATTAGGTAAATGTATGGTGTTTGACCCAGGAAGTGCTCTGTATATGTTAGCTTCCCTTCTGTTATGTAATGTTCCTGCTAATAATTTTATTTTTCAAATACAAAAAGAGCTCCTTGTGTTCACTATAGAAAATTCAGAAAATGTACATAATCAAGAAGAAAATGTTTTAGAATATACATCCTTCCAGCTTTTTCAATGTATAGATAGATACTTTTCTTTACAAAAATGGGATCATATATAAACTCTCTCTAAACACACACATATATACACACACCTTCCATGTTTTAAATATTTGTCTACCATGTGTTTTAATGACTGCATAGTATTCCACTATAAGGCTATTCTACATTCTAATTAGCCAATCCTCTATTGTAAAACAATTAGATTATTTTTTAATATCTCAATAACACAATATCTGATTTTTTCCTTTGGATAAATTCCTAGGAGATGAAGTTCTAGGTCAAAAGTATAAACATTTTGGGCTGACCAAGTGGCTTAGTTGGTTAAGAGTTGGCTTAAGAGTGAGAGCTCTGAGCAACAGAGCTGCTGGTTCGATTCCCACATGGGCCAGTGAGGCTGCGCCCGAGCTGAGCTGTCATGAGCTGCCAACAGGTGGCAGGATGGCTCAGCTGGTGTAACAAGAAGATTGTCTGTTCGATGGTGGGCTATGCCCACCCGCAACTAAGACTGAACTCGGCACCTTGAGCTGAGCTACCGCTCAGATGGCTCAGTGGATAGAGCATGCACTCTTAACAACAAGGCTGATGGTTCGACTCCCACATGAGATAGTGGCTACACCCACCCGCAACTAAGATTGAACACAGCACCTTGAGCTTAAGAGGCCACGAGCTGCCGACAAGCAGCCAGGTGGCGACTGGCGCCCTCCACAATGAAGACTGAAGAACAATGACTTGGCTGGTCCCCTTCCCCAATTCCCCAACATTGTTCCCCTTCCCCAATTCCCCAATAAAATCTTAAAAAAAAAAAAAAGAGCTCGCTCAAGATGCGAGCTCTGAGCAACAGGGTTGCTGGTTCGATTCCTGGCCCAAGCTGAGCTGCTGCTGAGCTGCCTACAGGTGGCAGGATGGCTCAGCTTTAAAAAAAAAGTAGAAGCATTTTTAAGAGTTTTGATGAATATTACTAAATTACCTTTCTGAAAGATTGCCCCGGGTTTTATTCTCACTAGCAAAGGATACAGGAGAATAACTGTTGTGCTTTCCTTTCACCAAAACAGGGTGTTGTTTTCTTTTTCATAATGTGTTAAGCTGGTAAGCAGAAAATGGAATCAAACTGCTGTTTCAACCTGCATTTCTTTGATGAATAGTGAGGTTGGACTTTAAAAAAATACATGTTTAACAGTCAGTTGTGTTTCTTTTCTCACAAATCCCTCATTCATGTCCTTCGTCCATTTTTTTCCCTGAATATGTTAATCTTCTGCTTACTGACCTTCAAAACTGTTAATGCTTTAGAAGGTATAAATGGATAGGATTTTAAAAAATTACTCTAATTATCATAACTATTAAAAAGCATAAGTATACTTTTAGTTTTTCTCTTCCTTGTTAATTTTTCAATATCTGTAACCAGCAGTGTTAATGGTTTTCCCTGTACTATCTGGTTTGAAATTTCATTTCCTTCAACAAGTACAGGACCTGGCTCAATTATCTGCCAAACAGATGAATGAATTTCAATAATTCCCATGCACACAAACACAGTCCTTACAGGTAAGTCAGAGAACCAGAATCCATCTCTCATGTAGCTGAGGTTCCTCCACATCTGATCTAACATGGTCAGGTGAGTCTCCTGTGTCTACTCACCTTACCTAAAAGGATCTTCAGAATTACCTGTCATAGGTAATTTATCTAGGATGTGGATTAAGATCCCAAAGAGAAATGAGAAGGGTCTCTAAGCAGCTAAAATCCATGTCTAAAACTTATTTATTTAATTCAGAGCAGAGTCTGTCAGGTTCTCACTTGGAGACCACTTGCTCTTAGTTTACACACACTTTGGATAAGATTGGCACTAGTTTACCTGTTTCCCAGAAGATTAAAAACCAAGAGGGTACAAAAAGGCTGTTATAGATAGGCACGCTAACTGAAGGTAGTGAGGGACAATATCTGATAAAGAGGTGGAGTGGCAAAGAGGTTAAGAACATTGGTTTTAAAATCTGGGACAATCTGTGCATCAACATGAATGACAGCAATGGATTATAACCCATTGAGTAAAATTAAGATTCCACGTGTCCATACTGAAAGCTAATAAGTCAATGGGGGAAAAGGGACAGCTCTTCCTTACTGTAGAGTGACAAGTAATAAATGCAGATGAAAGGATGAAATTATAAAGTCATTATTTTGCGATGTTGTAATTACCAGGGGTAACAAGAGTAGCTAGTTCATATGGCTGGGTTAATGTATGTAAAGTACGTAATGTATGCACAATGCTTAGACCAGTGCCTGACATATATAACAAGTGTTCAAAGAACTTTAGTTATTATTACTCTGTACCTGGCCCTATGGTTGGGCTGTGAAGAAGTCAAGGGAAGTATGAATTAAGACGCTTAAACTGGGAAGACAGCACGCTATTTTATAACAAGTACAGAGAGACCTGGGTTCAAATCAAAGCTCTATCATTTACTGGCTGTGATCCTGGACAATTCAGTATACCTCTGAGACTCCATTTCCTTACCAGAGATGCCTTCCCTGTGGGTTATGAGGTAACCTTATGTAAAACTCCATAGTGCCCGGCACATAGAAGGAACTCCATAAATATGAGTTCTCAACCCTTTGTCCACATAATCTTGGTAATAACATGAGTTTGGGCTGACGTGCACACCGGATCTGTACCCGACCACCCCCAGGATTCATGCTGGCACAGCCCTATATTAGAAAGCAGCTCTTCTATCTTTTGTACAAGTTGGTTGTTTTAAAATCCAAGTGAGAAAGGTTTGTCAATCTAAACTCAAAGGGACATAATTTGGTTAATCTTCAGCTGCTGTGTCCAATCACCATTCAATCACACCACCTCCCATGGCAGGCTGTCCCTCCAGGCAACTAGTGTCACTAACTGTGCTACCTGGACCTCTCCAGGTTCATGAGTATTGATTCCATCTGTCCAATTTGCAGGCTGCAAGACATGTCCAAGCAACCGAGTATGCTGCCCTTGGCCCTGGAGGGCAGACAGTGGTCTGGCAGGATGGGGACAGAAGAGTGACGAGGTTGGGCCCGGGGGCTGCTAACCCAATCAAAGGAAATGGGCATTCACTTCACAAACT